ACTACCCGCTTTTGGCTCTATTTTCAGGGCTCTGTAAAAATTATAAATAATCGAGATACAGTTTCGAGAGTCGGGACTTTTTTTACGCAAATTCATTGATCTTTTCAAATCTTTTTTCAACTTTCCAAAATTTTGAAAATTTTCCGAGATATTAAGAGAAAACTAAAACCCCATTTTTTTCACTCAATTGTTTATAACTTTTGTAATTTTTATCGGCGCGTTTTCGGACCTTTCCCTAAACTTTCTAGGCAAAAATACGAATCGAATGACACCTTGGTCGTAATTTTTGGACAGGGCTGAAAAATGTCACCAAAAAGAGCTAAATCGAGTACATGTAAACCAGACTATATAAAGCTGAATAATCAAGACTTTTTTCCGTGGAAGAATGTCATTAGTTATTTATTCTATTTCACCCCTCACGTAAGGGGTGTTCATATTTGCATCGCTTATAACACGCTACTGTGTGGCGATTTGTGTAAGTATTTGTTGGACTAAAAAATTGTACGTTTGGGCCTGGCACCCTCTCGGCACTCTTGGTCTTTTTATATAATTTCGAAATACGTCACGCATCTGATTCCTTGATTATTATTTATGGTTATAAAATGATAATACATGGAATGTTAAAGGTCAAATATTATTCCGATAATTCTCGTTTCTTTACCACGAAAGAATTATTATTGTACATATTGCAACATCGTAACAAATCTAACTCAAACCTTATTCAAGATAAACATGTAGCTTCTTGACGGTAAATATTGCGAAACTTATGTTTAACTAGAAAATTCAATTCGCATGTTTTTCGAGGTAATAAACTTATCACACATCTTTTCCCTAGCAACTGTTATACATTTTTCGACTGAAAGCAGCTTTCAATGAATTTTATAGTGTCAAATTGAAAATATTCAATTTTTAAACAACATAAATAGGCTATTTGTACTCCAAGTATTGAAAATTGACGTGGTTTTCGCAAGCATTTATTGTCGTCCACTGTTCAAAGTAAATGAATATTCTAGTCTAGTTCACAAGTACCTTTCAGATCAAAATTTTTTCGCTGCCTCCAAAAAGTTATAGACAATCAACTGAAAAAAGGGGTTTGGTTTTTTGCAAATATCTCAAAAACTATTTGACATTTTTCAAATTTAAAAAAAATATTCAAAAAAAGCAGTAAATTTCCCCAAAGAAGTCCTACCTTCCGGAATTGTAGAATCAATATTTATAATTTTTCTCTTGAGGGTTAAAAATACGTCCTGAAACGGGTACTCTGGCTTGCGCAAGACACGCCTACTTTAGACCTTTAATGAAAAAATATTGTTTCAACTTATTGAATATCGAAATTATAAATTGAAAAATTCAGGCACCTACTGGATAAATGAATGAATAATAATCTGCGGTCAAAAAATTTTTATCGCGATTTTCCAGTTAATTATGCATTAGTAAATAAAACATTTTTTTTCTACCTAAACAGAAACGGTCTATTTCTCGCACAACGCCACTGAATAAAAATTATGTTGCATTTTGATGCATAGAAGATGTGTGTACTGCATTTCACAAACATATGTAGACATACCAAAATTATAAAAAAAATGTCACAAATTTTGCACCGTGTAGTTGAAAAGATCAGATCTTTAGGAAATATTTATATATGGAGTGTTTTCTCAACATGAATTCAAAAATAGCCTCCTTGAATTTTAGAGTGTTTTTAAGAAGCACACTGTATACAGTTAAATATAATATCCCTACGAGTAAAACTGCTTTCAACAAATGGAAACATTATGTTCTATAGCCGTGATTGTGAATTTTAAGCTGTAGATAAAATTGGTTGTCGATTTCATTTGTCAGTCATGGTATCGAAAAATTCAAAACTCAAGATGTCGAACCATGCCACAAGTGACAGGTAAACTTTGTTTCATCAAAATGTGTGTACCATAGCTTTTTTTATAAGTTTTCTATTTCCTATTTCAATAGATATATGGTTATATTCTTGTCTAGACTAAAAACCCACATCCGAAACGACCTTTAGTATTACATTTCGGATTAAGATCACCAAAAATATTCAATATCTAAGAAGAAAGATTAATATTTTCTGATAATTATCGCCAAATTAGGTTTTTTTTTTGAAAAAAATCAATGTTTTTAATTTTCGGGAATTCTGTTATACAACATTCTTCTAATATCTAAAACAGTAGATTGTTTCCTATCATTTGGATACACGTGATGAATCACGGTTATCAGGGTTCGTTCTGATAAAATTTAATTGCGGTCTCCATTTGGTATCTATATCTACCTATTAGAGAACCGGAATTATGTCAAGCGGAGTAACTATTCATTATTATATAATCTGTTAGGCTTCGAGTGCGATAAGGAAACCAGGCGCGTTACTCATTTACTTTCCAACAAATCACAGAATTTGTAGAAGCGTTATCTCATAATAACATATGCTTCTGCTCTGACACGTTGCAAATTTTTCGTAATCAATTTCAATACTTGAAATGAAATATTAATACAATAAACTCCATATAAATGTCTTACTCATTCGGGTGATATATTTTTATGTTCCATCATTTCATTTATGCAGATTCACTCTTGATACATGCTCCTATTCTTACCGACAAGTCGTGAAGCTATCCACATCCACACCATATACGGGGATGGTCTGAAAGTTTCCGATCTCCAAATTAAATTTTGCGAAGAATAAAAACTCAAAGTCCTCCACAATTTATTATCACCCTCAGATGTTAGAACGGTAAAACAGTTGATCAGTACATGTTTCGAACCTATATAGGTTCATCATCAGCTAATTATTTAAAATTGTACNAGGATACACATTCAACTTTCCGAAAATGTTGAAACAACAAAGGCATTATTTGATTCTGAAAACTATCCATGATAATAATCATCCAATTTTCAGAAACATTTAAATTTCTAGACGCGTTTCGCTAACACTGTAGATTTCTTGGAAAAACTTTTTTTTGGAAAAGAGTTTTCAGTCTCGAAATGACTATTTTGAAAAAAGTTTCAATACAAATTTTTTATGTGAAACATCTATAGCCACACGTAAAACCGATTGCTGGCGTGGCGACGCATGACGTGGCGACGGGCCGGCATCGCGAGCGACTGTGCGATTTTCTTGCCACTGGTTTTTAGTAAGTTAATTATTAATTCATTTCAATTTCATTCTTATGAATAATAATGCACTGAACACTTGCTTGAAGAATGAATTTCATAAAGACTAACAAAACTGTATTTCGAAATCGGCTGATAGCGTGTAGCGCACGAATGTTTTTCTCATTTGTTATTAACAGGAACATCACAAAAATTAATTAATTTTCAATAATTATTGAAACATTTATTGTTGATATTTGTAATTTAAGATTTCCAGTGATATATTGCAGTAACTAGCTTGTATAGTCGAAATAACTGATATAGTAATCTTAAAGATGTCGGCGAAGTCAAAGGTCAAAAAAAACAATACAAAGGAATTATGCCGCAACGAATTAGTCCACGTGGACTGAAGAATTGGCGGTTCGTATTGGATGATTTTTACTGATAGAGTTTTAAGATTGGCTGAAGAGTCATAAAATTCAATTTGAAGTCATGTTACGGTGACCAACAGAATGTAGCGAATGAGTACCGCCGTTGTGTGTGTTATTAAAGGGGAACTGCTGGAAGGTAGGGGGCACTATATCTTTTACTTGAACTATACTTGTATATTAAAGTCACATTAAAATTTGTTCATGTATCAGTACCTAACAATCATCACAGGGGTCACAAAATATTATTATTGATTTTTCACATACGTCCCAACAATCTCCCACTGAGGCCATATAAACTATGTGGAATTTAGTTCTTTTTGTAGTAGAAACATACAATAAAATTAGAATGAGGTACTATTTCAATAAAACGAGTTCAAAATAGTAACATTCGCCACACCCCTCCTAAGAACTGACAAACTATGGAAAATGTATCAACTGGGTTCCTTTTTGTGATAAAAACGTATATTACAAAAAAATGCAGTGATATATTATTGAATGGAATTATTTTTTTAGAATATAGACCCCCGAGAATTTAATTATCCAAAAGAATTTGTGGAATCGAATTTGAACAATAAATTTTTAAAATGTTCTGCGAAAGTTTTATTAAAATGAACTGGTACTATGGATGAATTAGTAATGTAAAATATTTCATCAGTATCTAAATAAAACGAACAAACTTGACAAATTATTCGTACGTTTACTCCGGCTACGTTGAATGAGCGGATATAGAACGCTCAGTTTAATAAGAGCAGGTGTGAGTTGCACCTGTCGATACAAAAGGTATGCCATTCGTAATTCTTATTATACTTATTTGTATTGATTATTACATAAGTTCAAAGCTAGCATTAACGACTGAAAAATGAAGTCTTGTCGCAGATCTCTAATGTCATTTCAGAACTGACAGTAAAAATATTTATTGTGAAATTCAAAAGGAGAGATTTGCGAACTGAATCGAGTGATAAAAAACAACCATCAACTTCAAGAAGCCTAAAAATGTAAAGTGAAACATTTTTTAAATAACGAACAAAATGGGCGAAAGAAAATAAAATTGCAGATAATAATAGACATATGTAAAAACATCAGTTAAGAAATTGGTGTTCAAATCTTCATCTACTCAATCTGTACTTCGAGAAATAAAGACAATTTTGCGTTTTTATAAGTTTCAGAACGAGTTAAGAAAAATCTTTTATAAAAAAATACATATTTGTTTATTTTCCCAACAGTCTTACAAATCATCACCTCGATGCTCTCTGATGATGACAGTAACCACCGTCGAAATATCGTAATTATGTTATAAGAATACACTAGGCACTAGGGTTTTCGCTGCAATCCCAAATAACTATTATTGTTTATTAACTAAACAATTCGTTATAAACGAATTCCCAACCGCGATATATATTTTTTCTTAAACTGCTAAAAACTACAAAAACAATCATGCACTTCAATCTTTCGAAGAATTGTTTTTTGATTTTTATTGAACTTTTTGAAATTACGTGCTACAAAAGTTGCATGAACCACTCGATTTGTGAACTTTAAACAATCACTATTTCAATGAAAATCACTCATGAATGAGCTGGGTCTATTTTATCTTATCGGTCGGTAGCCGGGCGGTTCGACGTGGGTGCTTTGTTCCCTCAGTCAATCGGCCGATGTGTGAGTCGATGGTTCAAGCCCCAGACAGAACGCTTGATTTTCACTCGTTATCGTCCAACCCGTGTTAGAAATAACACGTTAAAAGGTAAGACCTCGTTGATCCCTAACTCGCACAAGTTTCGACTTCTGAGGGTTGTCGTTCGTGGGGTTGTGATAGCTGGTTAACGGAAAAAACATATTTTAAACAAAACAAACATTTTTTTTACGTAGTCCCATACAATTATGATTTGGAAAAAATTTAAGATAGATTTTATGATCATTTGCTGCAAGGAGTAATTTTCAAACATTCGCAAGCAAAATTTATTATTTCAGAATAATAATGGATATCTCTCCTCTCTCCTCTGTTCATTAGTTTATTCACACACAGTACACACAACTACTGTAATACTAGTGTAATCCGCACGCAAAATAAACGAAGGGCTGCACTGCCGATACCTCAACTAACCGCTCAACCGCTACACGTGCCGCCCCCTAGCCGGTTCGCTGGTTGGCGGTGCGTATTACACGAACGGATGCGTTGGGAAATCGTGAATGAGCTTATTCCTGGACCGTGCATGTATCACATCTTTATTGAGATAGGTAGGAATTTCGGACAATCAGATTAGTGATTCAAATAATTGATATAAAGATAACAATCTTTAAAACGTCACACTATTTAAATAGTGTTGGCAAATTTTGGCAGAAAAGATCACTTCACGCAAGCAATTAGTTTGAAAATTATAAATAATTCAGTAAAAAATGGGGGTTCGTTTTTTGTGAATATACCAAAAACTATGCAGATACTCACGAACGCGAAGCCCGATTCGGGCACATCAACAAAATCATTTCAGACTAATAAATATGAGTAAGTAAATGGTACTTGCTGATTCTTGAATATAGGTACAATTATCCACCGACAAAAAAATATCGCATTTTTCCTCTCCTGTTGATTAACAATTTTTTCCGAGTTGAAGGTTTACGTAAAATATTTGATAATTTTTAAAACTGAACCCTGCATTTTTTCTATTTTTGGAAGTATAT